TATATCCAGTGACGACCGCAATCTCAATTTTATTAATCGAAAAAAATAAGTAGTACCAAGAAAATTCTCAGAAAATTTTCTTGATGATCGCAATTAATTGGATTTAAATTTAAAAATTGTCAATCGTAATTTCAATTTCAATTTCAATTTATTTATTAATCAGCCTTTGAAAAATAAGGCCCATCAATTTCTAAAAATAGCTAAACGCGAATTTAATTTTAATGATTATTCTGTTATATTAACAAAATTGATCAATTTGAGCTTTTTTCTAACAATAATAGTTAGATAATATAAAATAGATAGTCATAACGCTATTATGTAATAATAAAAGAGTGATTTCTAATTAAACTCAATTCCAATTGTTTATTTGTAAATTCTAATCATTTGATTGTGAAGTAAATCATGATCATCTTCCGATTTCTGAAACTATTTTTCACAAATATATACTGTATTGATATTGAACCGAAATTGATGGACTGAAATTTAAAATGGCCCCATGATTTTTTAGAAAACAACTTATTAGCATAGCGGCCAATCACAAAGATAGCACTGAAAATATAAGATCAGCTGATACTAACAACTGTGATCTGTATATGGTGATTAAGACAGATTAGAATAACAATTGTTAAGAAAAATTCTAGAGAATTTTTATTAATACTGCTTATTTTAAAGTTTAAAGACCGATTAACAAACTGAAATCACAATTTCAAGAAAAATTCTCGCAAATTTTTCTTGATACTGCTTATTTTTAAAGTTTAAAAACCAATTAGTAAACTAAAATCACAATTTTAAGAAAAATTCTCACAAATTTTTCTTGATACAGACTGATTAGTAAATTGAAATCACGATTTTTAAATATGATTATCTATATTTAAATAACTTTAATAATGATTGATCATTTTGTTAGAATTGTTAATTTTAGATACATAGTATGATATTATCGATACTTTTGCAATTGTAACGGATTTTGAAATCTATTATAAAATAGTTTTTTTTAGTTAAATAAATCATTTCGACTTTTTAGTAACTTTAGATAGTATAAAGTTATATTTGTGATCAAATTTTCTTTGTTAACGGTACGCGTTTCTCTAGAGTCATACCATAGATAGTATAGAGTCATATTTGTGATCGAATTTTCTTTGTTAACGGTACGCGTTTCTCTAGAATCACGATTGTTCACAATTTAGTTACCTTAGATAGTATAGAGTCATATTTGTGATTGAATTTTCTGTTAATGGTACGCGTTTCACCATCATTCATACATTTGCATTTATCATTTACGTATTCTTTCTTATTTTTACGTGTTCTCATTCATATTCGTATGTTTACGTCAAAAAAATGAATCAACAAGAAGAAATTTCCTTGATCAAAAAACAAAATGAACTCATCTTGGAAAGATTAAAGTATGATAGATTTTTTATAAGAATAAATTTAAATGAATATTATTACTAATGAGTTATTTTTTAAAGTTCTTTAGATGATGGTACTTTTGCTGCGTTGTCCACAAATATTCGCAGACCTTCTACGTCGTCCACAACCTTCCCCGTTGACGTGTCATCTTTATCAACTCATGAAAATATTCGCAAACTTCTACGTCATCTACAACCTTTCCCGTTGACGTGTCATCTTTATCAGCTTGTGGAAATTCTCACAAACCCTCTACGTCGTTCACAACCTCTCCTGTTGATGTGTCATCTTTATCAGCTTGTGGAAATATTCGCAGACCCTCTACGTCGTCCACAACCTTCCCCGTTGACGTAAGTTATTAATATAATCTAATCATACTTTTTTAAAAAAAAATTCAATTTTGTAAAAAAACTAAAAAAACTAATAATGTATGATATGTATGATTAAAAGACACACAATAAAAGTTTTGTTGCAAAACCGAAAAAAAAATACATATCTAAGTTAGATATGATAAGTACGTTAGATATAACGAATGAAATGTATACGTTGTGTATGGTACGTATATACATTAAATAATAATTGAATTT